GCCCTCTACAACATCATGCAGCCTCTTTCCTTTCTGATCAGAAGCTCAGCTGCCCAACTCTTCACCGCTGCAGGTCTTCAGAGACTGCACTGTTTTAATTGCTCTTCCCTTTTTAGCGGGAACATCACCTTCCAGGCAGAGCTGCCTGGTGCTTTTTCCTCTGCTTCAGGCCCAGGGCCATGGATGCCCTATATTTTTTGCAGCACTTCAGTCCCGCCTGAGCTGGGCTCCCAGAGAGGAGGCTCTCTGGAGCCCTAGGCAGCACGTCCTCATGTCTGCAAGAGGCTCTACCAAGCCCGTGTTGCTATTCTGCCCTGAGCTCATCCTGTTCTTCCTAGAGCACTTCCAAGGCTTCCAAGGCACTCCGCAGAAAACAGCACAAAAAAAAACCACAGGAACTCAGCCTACTTGCACTGCATGGGCAACATGGCCTGCTGAAAATATGCAAGTGACAGGAATTACACAGTGCAGAATCACTGCTTTCCTTTGTTAACTCAGTCCATTAATATCAGTTCATTAGTTACAAGCAATAAAAAACTCAAACTAGTACATTGATTTGAACACCCCGCATCTCTTTCTCTGGATGGCTTGTATGGAAATGCCAGGAGCAAGCAGAGCACTCCTCAGCAAGCCTCAGCAGAGCCCTGTACAGAGGTCAGCTCCCATGCAGGAATGACTTGCTGAAATTTAAGGTCTTTTCTCCTAGAAGCCGTTTTGACACACCCCTCCGTTACCAGCATGAACCAACCCACGTAAGGCACTGAATGGTCCTACAGCAAAGCAGGCCAGACCCTGCACAGTACCAGAGTCCTGCTGTAACCCCTGACTCCAGCAAAGAGAAAAGCCCAGAGCTATCCACTTTCAGATCTGCTAGCTGAGCTGCTCCTTTCAGCACAGGTAAACTAAGCCTGCAGACACTGTTTAATCCTTGGGGCCCATTCATTCCAAGGAGGGCTGGGGAGGGCAGGCAGGTTAGCAAGGGCAGACGTGGAAGGGGGAAGACCTCACCAGCACAACTGCTGCAGAAAAGGCACGTGTTCCTGCAGCACTGACCATCTGCATGCTTTGATAGCATCTCTACTGTGATGTTTCACCTCCAGGACTCAAATCGCCCCACAAGATGACTAGCTCCTGGCTCTGAGCTAGTCAGACCCACGGTCCTATATTCTGCAGGTACAAAATTGCAGTGATTTCTTCTCTAGTAGCAGAGTGTTGCTCCTAAATTTCATCTTTTGTTTAAACAATAGTGTTTTTCTAACCTTATGCTGTATAAGTACCTCTGAAATCATAAATTGTTCAAGTACAGTTATTCAAGTGCTGTACACTGCAAGGTTGCCTACAGACACTAGTGGACCCTATCACAAATAATGGGGTACCAGAGGCAGGGCAGCACAGAGCACTCCACTCAGTACAGTCTGATACAGACATGCTATGAACATCAGCAATGATAATATATCATTCCTGATCTATGCAAAAAGACCAGCTAATTCAATAAATGTTCTATTGCCTGGGAGATGCAACCTAAAAAAGGTAATATGATAAACTAAACAACAAATCAAGATTACGCAGCCCTCACAGCAGAATTAAGGGGTCTTACCATCATACTACTTCCATTTCCTCTCTAGCTGCTCCTTCCCTGTAATTGACAGTTTCCTAGAGACAAAACACTAAATCTTTCCTTATTTTGTGACAACCCTAGTAGTTTTGCACACTGCAATAATATAAGGGACCCCTTGAGAATCCAAATGTCTCTTTCTTTAGCACAAGCTTAGCCTGAGTATTTGATGAATGGTTTAGGTACAGAAAGGGAAGGAGGAATATGACCAGTTACATGGAAAAAAAAAATATATAGGAGGGTTTAAATGACTTATTTTCTGTATAACAAAGAGTCTTAATCAGCATCACTTTGTATGTGAATAAATCTCCTAGAGCTGTGAATATTAAAGAGTGGACTGCAGAAGCCTGTTTTGTCTCCTTAACTGAGAATATTTATAACACCTAGGAGAGCAGATCTGCATGCCAGCCTAGCCAGAGAGCACTAAGGAGAACTTTAGTGTAAGGGAAAAGTAAAGTATCCTCTGGATTTGTCCTCAGAACGATGGCATGTGGATGCTTTATAGTTATGGAGGCACACAGTATACAGTTCTGGAGTAATGTAATCTGGCATTAAAAAAATAGCTGAGCTTTCATCTGCAAAACATCTGGAGAATTCCAAAGGTTCTTAGCAAAACTCTGATCTGAGGAATTAGGACACACTGTATCTGTGACCTCCAGGCGTGGAAATGCCATTCGAAAAAAAAAAAAAAAAAAAAAAAAAAAAAAAAAAACACATAAGGGCTACCTAGACTCTGGAAACAGTTTAAAGAGAGTCATCCAAAGCTTTGTTAATAACATTAAAGAAAATTGCTATTAGGGTTTAGGAAATTGTGTTGATGAGATGTGCAGCTGAACCCTTGCCAGACAGAGTTTGCTTTTTGATAATGAAGGTGGCAGGAGGTGCTGCCTGGAGACATTGATTTGCCACCACCTGAGCAGTGAAATGGGAGAAGCAAAGAGCAGCATTTGATCCTGCTCAGGAAGCAACTTCTGCTCCCCCAGAGCAGGGTAACTGGGAGAAGGAGGTGGGACATCCCAGGGTGATTTTCCCTGAACTTGCTGCCACCAAGCGGCTCCTTCTTCCCTCTCTCATCCCTCCCTGTGCTGCAGCATCTCCTTCCCCACAGGAAGATCTTGGTCTCTCCCCAAGCAGCATCAGCCGGTCCATTTCCAGGTGCTGAGTTGGGGTGGGCGAGAGGAATGCAGCCTAGTAGAGGAAGAAGACTCAGTGCCCAGCCCTGATTTCAGTTTAGGAAAATTCAGATCACCTTACTGGAAAGGGAGGAGGAGAAGCGTTTGTCCCAAAGAGAAGGGGAAGTCTCCATAACAGGTGAAAAGCAGCCGAGCTCTTCATCCGCATCTAAGTCACACCCCTGCAAGTCTTTGAGACCTGCTCACCCATGCCACATAATGCCAAGATGGCCCAGTCTGGGCCACTATCCTCCTCTACATGGCCATTTCAACAGGAATGGGAAATATTATTTGCACTATTCATCTAAATTGCTGAAATCCCTGCACCATCTGAAACACCCTACTTCTCTGAAAAAGCTTCCTCATGATGGGTAGAAGCTGTAGATATGCATGTGGGTTTCTGAAGAAAGTATGTTGCTGTACACCAGGTCACACACAGCCCTCCTTGCCCCCTCCATCACTACCAAGAACCAAGGTGCAGCTGCCTAGAGCTCGTTTTGCTCCTGCCCTACTTGGACCCAATGCTGTGCAGACAGTCTCCAGCCATCCCTTGCCAATGCCACAGCTGCAGACACTTAAAAAACCCCAAACTCACAAATCTGTGCCCCAAGCACAGCTGCATCCTTGGTTTATTCTGACAGCAAATAATGAGAATAGGCACAGAGCATGGATGCCAGTTATTTCTGCATAGAACAGATAGAAGATCAAGTACTCAAACAGTACTGAGCAGGGCAGAAATATTGCCTGGCTTGCTGTTTCTGGCTGGCACGTGAACAGTAAGGAGAACAGAGAAGAGAACAACTCAGCAGCAAAGTTCAACGTGGTGAATCGCCACGTTCAGCAGCACAGGAGCCTTTGTGTTCAAAACTGACCTGGGTCTGTGGTGTCAGGAGACAACTGACCCAGTCCTGCACCAACTGTGCAAGGAGCTCAACAGAGCAAGGGTGAAGAGTGCACTTGTGACAGAACTGGGCAAGAAATTAGTTACGGCAGGAGGGATCACCAGCACAGGAAAATGCTCAAATCACCATGCACCCATCATAAGATTTTTTTTTAAGTAAAAATGAAATAGCTATTTTAAAAAGTAATAATTACATGTGCACTCAAATAATCAAACTAAGATTTACTTATAGTCAACCCCAAAACTTCATGAGCCTCAGGTAAGTTTTCATTCCCCCTCCCACCATTTTTCATATATCCTTTTCCCACCCCAAATCACTTGCTTCTTTTACTTGCTGCATCTTTAATAAACCCTGTAGGAAATATTTTTTCCCCACCTTCATGGTAAAGCACATGGCACTTATGATGATCAAAATTAATTAACAATAAAATCTTTTTTATTACAATCTGATGGATATTTGCTCTCCTTTACTGGCAGGGTATCATAACTTTGACTACAGCCTGAACTGCAGTTTCATCCCCACAGAAATTAAGCCTTTAAACCCCAGGATAACCACCAGTTTCACTAGGTTAGTGCTCTCAACAGTTCTCTTTCCCACAAAGCAGAAATACCTCGAAACACTCATCTGGCAAAGTGATGAAACTTCAGTCTTCCGCTACAGAGTAATTCCACATGGAAGGACTATAATTCAGAAAAATATCCTTACACAGTTTCTTGCACATCCCATAAAACACAGTTTGAACCCTACACAGGGAACTGTTTTGAATCAAGTGCACTGAAAATACTTAACTTCCTTAAAAGCAAAAATAATATATTTATTTTTGAAGCTCCATCACTCTAAATTTTCTAGACAGTTGATGAAAAAAACTATGTAAAACCATTCCAACTCTGGCCCCAGGCATCAGAAATTCCAGACCGGGAGAAGGCCACAAATAGGGACTATGCCCCATGTCTGCTCCAGAGGCACCAGTCTGACCCCATAACCATCAGGTACTCTTTTGCTTACCAGGATCCAGATCCATCACCAGGCAACAGCATTTCTGATGTAAGAGTAAAGCACATTTTATGGACCCAGCAATAGCCATTTCTTTTGCGATCATTTAAAATGACAGTTCAGGCATTCCTAATCTTTCACAAATGAGTCAATAACTCTTGCAGCTCTGTAAAGTCATTCAGCACAGGAAACTTTCACAATATAGGATCATGCAGATCCAATCATTTTTCATCAGAAACTTTCAGGAACAAGAGCCCTGCCTGGCAAGACGTGGTGAATAAATCCCCATGCAGCTCCAGCCCCTCAGCCTCCAGTTACCTTAACAGAGAGGGCACTCCAGGAGCTTCTGCGCAAAACAGCCACTCCTCCATGCTCAATCACACCGAGACCTTTTCTCATTCATTTCTCAGTCATTTTCAGGGTTTCAATATCAGCACTTTAGCATCTGTCTCACATTGGGCTTTAAGCATCAAGGTAGTGCAATAGGAGAAGAAAACCAGCTTGACCCACTCATTAATATGACCCCATCATCATATTGAAGTGCAAGAAGTAAAGACAGCCAGGGTGATAAGAAGCTCTAGCAGTAGTGATATTGTGGCAGGCACCTGTAACCCTTTGGCAACAGGCCTGATTTATATTGATTGCAAGATGCTGAGAGCACTTGACTGCAGCTGAAGGTGATGAGGGTGGAGGGGATCTGCTTTAGGGAACTCTGATCACATCACCCCACCTTCAGTATGTCTGAGAGCTGTGGAAGGCAAAGGAGGCTCCTGGTTTGCAAATCACACCCCACAAAAGAAAATGAGATTTGGGGGTTGCAAACCCAAGGACAGAGTTTTTAGTTTATAGAAGACTCCCCAAGGACTGCTAATAAAGGTCACAGCAAGATTAAAAAGAAGAGGGTGAAAAAAAATCCCTAGCATGCATTTCTCTTGTGCATACAGGTCCTCTACAAGTCTTTCTTCTACAACATACTTTTCCCCATGGAGAGAGAATGGGAAACAGTTGTGTGCAACAATTATAGTCATATTGCTTAATGGAAATGTTTACAGGTTACTTCAGTGCAGTGAAAAATGTGTACGCTAAAATAACCACAGTGGTAGCCCCCCCCAAGTCCCAGGTTTTAAATCCCTTCATACAACTACTTGCAGTCTCAGCCTCCAGAGAGCTAGGCTGTTAAACATCACTGTTAACACAGGCTTTTTATGCTCTGCAGCTCAGCTCTTTGCTGCTTCAAGATGCTCACTCGGTAAGCTATCCCTGCACTAGCAAGGGGAGCACAGGGCAAGCCCAGGTCCCAGTCCCACACACAGCTCCCTGACCATGCACAAGGCTCTCCTGGTGTCCCACGCACAGCATCCTGACCACACACGAGGTTCTCCTGGTCCCCCTGGTGCCTGCCCTGGGCTGGGCAGCAGGAAGATCCTATATTCTCAGGGATGGTGAGGCAGGAGACAACTCTTTCCTACCTGGCAGCAGCTCTGGGGGCTGCAGAGGAAGCTGTTCTAGTGATAGATGGGAGCAAAGCAGAAGAGCAGCAGCCCTTCAGGTTTCCCTTTATCCTTGCAGGCAGGGAGCAGCTTGCAGGGGAGGGCAGCTGTGTCCCATAGGGTCGTTTGGTGGCTCTTGCCAATGGTTGGCTGATGGGCAAGCTTGTTTTGATGGGTTTCTATTCTCTAGGTCTCAGGGAATACTTAGGTAAAGGTGCCCTTTCTGCTTTGTGACCATTACATCCTCAAATGCAGTTGAATTTGTCTCTAAAGACTGCCATGTAAGCAGCCTCACTGCCTGTGGAGATTTGTTGCTGTCCAATGACAGGCCTTGGGCCTCCCTGTCCTCCTTAGATGTGGCAGCAGCTGTGCTCTCAGAGCTCTGGTTGGCCCACAGCCACTCTTGTCATGCACCTCAGTGCAAGCTTTGAAGCCTAGCTTTATCTCCCAAGTCTAGGCCTTCCAATATTCCCTCGCTTTGTGTTATCTCCAAGGACATTTATTTTTTCCTGTGCTCAGAGAAGAACTAAGATTCAGATTTAACACAGCTTGCCGTTCAAGAGCAAAGATCTGATTTCATTAAACTCCTCTCTGTAGAGCAGTACCAAGGAGAAGAGCAACATTTCATACCTTTCAGCTGTGACAGAAGGTGTTACAGCTAATTATTTTCAAGTAACAACCTGGGATTAAGTCCTTCTGCTATTTACAAGAGAAAAATCTGTTTCTCATTCTTAGAGCGGTACAAATGATGTTGGTTGAAAGGAAAATATGGGAGAAGATGGAGGAAAGATAAACCATGGATATTTCCAGTGTTTGTAGATCTCATAAATAGGGGGAGAAGAGTCATTCTGTTTCTCATAAATTAACATTGTAAATTGTCATTAAAACCAAAAGTACAGGTAACCAGAAGACCAGCTGCCCTCCCTTCCTTTGCTAGCTCTTCCATCTCTTGTGGAAGCACTAATACTACAAAGCTAGGCCTGCTGGATATAAATTTCTCCAAGCGCTGCAGTCATTTGGATCTGAGATTCTGTTTTTGCCCAGTATAGAGGCAGGAGTAGCATATGAAGATAGGATCGAGCTTTCTAAGTCAGAACTCCCCTCCGTGCGCAGGATTGCAGGGCAGTGATTTTGCTAAGCACGCTGCAGCCTGTTAATTTCTATAAAACCCAAGTACAGAACTGAGTTAGTATGGGATGGGAGGAGATGGTTAAACCTGAGCTCAGCACTTGTGAGTCAGTCAAGCTTGGGAGAGTAAAGCAGAAGCTGAAAAGGAGAAACATCGTTAGCTGAATCTTGCGTGTGTTACGTGTTCCCTCTGTATTGGACCCATCCCTGTTATTTTAGGCCGCCCCCACATTCCATGCACTGGTTCACTGTGAGCCCTCTCCAGCAAGGCTCTTCACACCTCTAAAGCCATGACAAGGGCCTTCACAATGACAGACTGGAGAAGGGCTGCCCAGTGCTGCTCTACACACGCCAGGGCAAGCCTGAAGTATTAGGACTGATCTGCTGCCAGCTTCAGTCTCCTTGCTCTCTCCTGCTCAGAACGACCATCGATGGGCAAATCTTCCCTTTATAAAGATAAGGAGCAAAACATAGACACAAGGCCCAGAAAAGCCACATGCCATCTTTGAGGCTTGACAGCAGCTATTTAAGTCACCCTCAGAGGTCTTCCAGGATGGTTCACACTGTGAACCTCCAGCCTCAAAACAGCATCCTTAGGGCTGCATCCTATCCTCTGCCTCTGGGTTCAGTGTCATTTCTACCACAGCAGCTTAACAGATAACTTAATTGACCTCAAGCCTCTGATTATGCCAAAAAATGATCTCAGAGCATCACACTAAACCAGCTTAAAGATGCCCCATTATTGACACCAGTAAAGATTTGTGTGGCGATGATCTCACCATCACTCTAAAATATGTAGGATTTGCCTGAAATTGTAGGTGGCCTTAGCAGAACTGCGAGCAGCCCACACAGTGATGAGATGCTAAAAGATACGATGGCTACGGGAGCACGCGTGCATCATCCTCCTCCTCCCTACAGAGTAAATACAACATGCTATCAGAAACACAAAGGTTTGCTTTGGCATAGTGCATGTGCAGCTATGGGAGAGCAATGAATAAGAGAGTGAAACATAACAGGAGAAAACAAACTGGGTGAAAAAGGAACAGATGGGAAAGAACAGAGGTTTGCAGAACAAGCTAGGGGAAAGCTATCACGCTCAGGAAAGTAAAAGCCCCAACCCTTAATGGATAGAGAAAAACAAATGCTCCAGTTCTTTCCATCTCCTTCCTTTTGCTTTCTTCTTGCACCTGGATCCAGAAAAGAGAGCTGAGCAGCAGTGAGAGCATGCAATTGATAGCCAAGGAAGAGAAGAGCTTCCTCCTAGCTAGCAGAAAACTAGTCCTATCATTAAGTAACAAAGGTCGACAGCCATTTATGATGTGAGGAAGTGGAAAATGAAAGGTCTGAGACAGTAAGGCTGGGAATGATAAATGAGAATTGCAATGGAAAGTGTGCAGCAGACCTAGAAAATAAACTCCAGCCTCCTGCAAGCTCAGCAGGAGCTGCCGTGAGAGACCCCTTGCAAGAGGAGCTGTTTTGTGCAGAAGAGGAATGCCAGGAATTCCTCGGCTCAGAGGCTGGGGCATCGCGAGGAGAAGCGAAGGGCTGTTCCTCATCCTGGCACACTCTGCACTGCCCTGCTCACTTCAGGACTGACTCGCAGCCAGGACTGCTGGAAAAGAGCACAGTTACTGCAGTGAGTGCGTGAACTTCAGCTGTAGAGCAATAAGCTGTGCAGCAATACTGAGAACAGAGGTGGGTTACTCATGTGGGAGATAGCCACCTAAATCTCAAATTGTTTTAAATCATCTGCAGAAGAATGATTTGTGATGGCATCAGACCATTAGGTCACTAACAATTCATCCAAAACCGGGGCCAACCCAAATTTCACTGCAGTATAAATAAACCTGCAAGCTCATTTTTGGCTCGGATGCTTTTTTTTCTACTAACAAAATATTGCAACCAGTGGCCTAGCATTTCCTTACATGGGCTGAATTGAAGTTGCCCATTTTTCCCTCCTACGCTGAGCAGAATTCAATAAACAGCTATAGCCAGGGCACCTAGATTTAGGAGGCTTTCCACATAATTCTGGTTCTGTGCCTCCAACGATTCTGTCATTTCTTGACTTCAGTTCATGGGCCATGCTTCCTCGTGGATTTATTGAAGCCAGGAGTTCACAGTTTTGAGCAAGGTTCAGAAGACAGATTATAGATGCAGTAGAAATCAGAAAACAAAGAAGCAGGACAGGCAGATACTCCTAGAGAGAAAAGCACTTTGGTCCCTCTCTGAAGAGCTTTGAGCTTTAGTTCTATAAATCATGGTCACCAGTTTGTTCTCCATTAGATGCTCAAGTCTCACTCTCTGCATTTTGTGGTTTTTTTTCCTCCTAAAACTGTTTTTGCTGTGTTTGGAAACCATTTCTTTCGTCTCTATTATACTGTTTCCAGTCAGACTACACTTCAGATACAATGGCCTACCACGACCCCACCTGCTCAAGTATGTGTGCAGCTACTAGAGCACAAGCAGCTTTTTCCTGGAATTAGAGGTTTAAGTAAAAGGGATTTTGAGTCTCATGACACCTTGAAAGAACAGACTTTCTCACAGGAGCCATCTGAAAAAGCAGTGATGTGTTTCTCATATGGCTTGGTACCCCTTGATGTGAAAAGGGCTTATACTCCCCCTTGATGCGGAGTAGCAGCCGAAAGAAGAATCATGGGGTCAGTAAAGAAAGGCATAAACCAAGGAGCTCAGTTCCCCAGAACTGCTCATCTAGTCCTCTACCCCGAGGCAAAGTGGACTTCAGCTCTGTGGCAGCCTCCCACCTTGTTTTGGTGACACTCCAGTGCCAAATTCTTTAGCAGGCTCCTGTGTACAAGTCTGCTGTACTATAGGAGGGACCTAGTCCACCACGAGTGCATCAATGCAACGCTGGCAGACCTAGACAGCAGCCCGAGGCTGGGATGCAGATCTAGCATCCCTTATTTGCTACTGTCAGAAGTTCTGCTTAAAAAAAAATCTTTGTTATGTT